TAACATCATCCTGCACAGAATTTATAGCCTACACTGTTTGTGAATTGAGGTAATAAGGAACCACAGAGTAGATTGTGATCTTCTTGGGCCAAAGCCATGAAAGGAGCAGAACTGAAAACTACACTGAGATTTTCTGCATGTCAGTCTCAATTTCAAAGGCATCCAAAAGGTTTTGATTCATTATCTCCAATTCAGGAGTGGTTATGAGGAGCCCTTGTTCTGTTAGTGCTTCCATACTAGAAGCAGTGAAAACAGCTTTTACTCATTAACCTAATAATGTAGTCATTTAATTGAAATTGCCACAGCTGTGAGCTGGTTCTGGTAAACCGTGGTAGAGGAGAAGTAGCCAACTTTCTGCTCTGCACCCCGTGTCACAGGAGGGCAGCCTCTGCCAGAAAGGTGCAGTGGGGCTGGGGCACTGTAGGGGAGTCTGCAGGAGTGCCGGGGGTCACGCGTGGTCGGGACAGACGGAGATGAGAGATCTCTGCAGCCAGGGCGTGGAACTGTCGGTTCATGGCAAAGGGCGTGGGTGCAGGGCCCTGCTGGGAGCTGCCAAACACAGCTCGGAGCAGGCTGAGAGAAGAGAGGCTTGAAGTGTAAGAGAGTCAATGGCAAAGGTTTAAGAGCGGAGAGCATGTAGAAAGGAGGGGGTGAAGAAGTGCAGAGGGAAGACAAAGAGACAAAGAAAGAAAAGGGCACGAAGAAGAGCGCGAGAGTGAGCAAAGAGATAAGGGAGAAGAGAGATAAGAGAGGAGAAGAGAAACGGAAGAGAGCGAAGTTCCCGTTACAATACAATAAATCATCTTCAGTGTTGAATATTCAGATTCTCATCAACCAATCTACTACAGCATGCATATCCTATAACATTTCCATACAACCTATAAGAATCACTACATTACCATACTGTGTTACATTTTAAACCCTAAATCTTACTCATTGGGCCCTATCTGCCAAGCCGCAGGGTCTGCTCTGACCCTTGGACCTGCCTGCTTGCAGAGGGTGTTGTTTCATCAAGAGGGGATTACCTTCGGCTGGCCACACCATTGTTTCCCAGTTGTTCAGTAACTGAGGGATCTCAAAACTTGCTTTCATTCCAATCTCGCTTATAGTTTCTATATTCTCAAAATCTTTTGCCAGGCAATCATATTTATAAGGTTTTCCTGTTCCATCCTCCCCACCAGGGCACTTTGACAGCCAGTGCTGCAACAGCCAAGGTGCAGCATGAACTGGGGCCTTCGCAACTGCAGAAAGGTCAAATCTTGTTTCCTTGTTGAAGGTCTTCCAAGCCCCAGCAAAAATACTTCAGTTCTTTAATTTTGCCCACATGTATCTTGTATGTTTAGCCCTAGCACCTCAAAGCTTGGATGTTTTCCTGTGAGGTCAGTAAGTAATGCTTGGGCTTTGGGGGAGATGGGCTGCTTTCTTGAGGTTTTATGTTTGTTTGGTTTTTGGTCACCAGCTCTACTGCTGTTCTCTGGGAATTCTGCTAGACTAGTAGGGTATGACTAAACCCAAAGTATGTTTACAGAGTACACAAAGAATGTTCATCCACAAGCAGTAGAAATGATAATTAATTTTACCCCAGCAGAACTGCTTACTTGTCTTCTCAAGTTTAACAGACAATTTCTAAATCTTTTCCCAAGTTTTAGTAATTTTAAACATGCTACTAATTTAAACAAAACTGCCACTGAATTCAGAGAGGACAGATCCGGCACAAAAAGAAGTTTTGACTTTAACCAATCATTTAAGTGAAGCCAGAATAAATGAACCAATATCCCTGCCTATTAAAAAATCCAGAGAAGTGTCTGAGGACCCCGAGCAGGCAGGAGTAAGCATTTAATCATTGGAGAAACTGAAGCTGAGTTCAGTCCCAGGACAGAGCAGAAGGGCTGCTCAGAAACAGATAGCACAAGTTACAGCACTTTGGGCACAGATGTATCTATAGCCCCACTCCAGTGGCCCCAATGTAAGTACAAGTATATTTACATTCTTTCATTTTGGTCAGTCTAAATGACAAACTCCTAGGATTTTCGGGTACTTTTAGATCTAACTCTTGTTGATCCAGAATTGACCTAAGATGACCGATCTTGTTAATTCATTTCCAGCCTCCTGTTCTCCACTAGTTTGCCTACTGGAGATTACTATTTCTTGCTTTCCACTGGTCAGATTAATCATATGACTTCTTTTCTTTTCACCTATCCCTATGAAATCAAGCTTGAGGGGGATTTTTGAGTGGGTTTGGTTTTGTGTTTTGTTTTTGTTATATTTTGTGATAGACTTTGTATGTTACAATCTTCAGCAACCACCAGCTCTCAAGTGCCAGAGATAAGGCCTGATTAAGGCAAAAATGGTTTTTAATATAATCAGGGTTAACAGCACTCCCTCTTAGAATGCAGAAATGGAAAAAGAGTTATTCTCTGTGGCCAGCAGCCTGGGCATGAGGAGGGAAGTCATCAAGGCAAGCTCTTTCCTCACTTAAGGAGATATTATACAAAACATTAAACCCAATGAGGGTATCTGTCAAAATCGAAGAGACTTCATCTCTGCTGTTATCTACCTTCCATTATGGATTAATTTGACACTAATTGCAAAAATGATTTAATTTAGCTAATCTTCAAAAAATACTGTTAGAAAATTAAAATTAATGGCCAGGATAAAATCCAGCTATTCTACCTGAATAAAAACTTGGCCACAAAGGGCCTGATGCAGAAAGCTTAGATAGAAATTACCTCAAAAATTGCATTTAATACATGAAGCAACAGAGAGCTAAAAATTAATTTAAAGAAGAACATGACAGGTATCAGTGGAGGAAAAGTCAAAGTTGTGTACCAATGGAGAAGGATGCCAAAAACCAAATTTGGAGCATTTTAACTCTAAAAAGAACTTTGGTACTATATTTTTTAGACCTAAAAATTGTCAAGAGATTGCACACTTTTAATTCCACACTTTTAGTTATCCAAACAGCAGAACCTAGTAAATCAAGTACTTATTAACTATGTATTGGACAAACCAGAGAATGTGATTTTTTAGAAGTAGTTTTGTAGTTCAAGAGTCAAATTGTACCAGTCAAATTGTACCAGCAATCACAGCTTTGTGATGTTCTTCCAAATTCCTATTTCTGATAAAGGCACTGTGTAACATGATAAATTCTCGTCTGTACCAGATGGCACAAGTCCCTGAAGAATCATGTGCCAGCTGTTCCCAGGCAGAACACACCACACTCCAAGCACACTTGCTCTTTTGTGGCACAGCCTTGCTGTGCTGGCGCAGGGGCTGGGGAGCATTCAGAGCAGAAGCCGTGTGTCACAGGCTCTCTGTGCAGCACGTGTGTGACGGGTGACAGCTCCATACTTTGTGCTCCTACTACGAGTTTGTTCCCCTGCAATGCTTTCCCCTGTTAAGTTTAGCAAGACAGGCCTGCCTTGTCCAGGGGTCAGAAGGGAAATGTTCTCCAGCACACAGAGTGTGATTTCCTTCCCCCTGTTTGCATTAAATGAGAGGGTGCCATTCCAGCATCTTCCCGGTGCCACCAGCTTTGCCTTGCTCTACAATGCAGTGGGAAACACAACTGCCCCAGCCTGCTTGCCTTGTGCTCCTGTGTGCCCACTTAATGTGATCAGCAATGTGTACAGCTTGCAAGGGAGAATAAGGTTGATTCTAGCACATGGTTAATTAAGACATTACAGTTAGCTATTTGCTAGGCAGGCTCAGGGGAGTAGTAATAGGATATGGAGTCTTTCACCTTAAGTTCAGCCATTCTTCCCCCCAAATTCCCAGGTAGTGATCAGTAATTTCTCATTAACCCTGACACAAGCTGAATCCGACTCCATTCAGGCATGTGGATGAGTTCTGAGCACATGTCTGCCAACAAGGAGTGTCAGTATCTCTGGTAATTAAATTTCAAAGTGAAGAACCCCACTGCTGTAAGTAAGCAGCAGAAGTTGATGCTTCCCTGTGGCATTATTTTAACTCCTCTGTTGTTGTTATTGTCTCCAAACTCAACAGCTATCATAAGCTGTCATAATATCAGCAGATACAGATTTAGGTTTTGAAGGCTACAAATTGACTATTGTTCTTAGGCTCCCCAGCAAGACAAACAATTAATAGTAAGGCCACGTAGAAGTTGGGAAAACATAATTTAAAAAATACCCAATCCAACACCTAAATTATAATGAATCTCCAAGAGGCCCCTAATTTCATGATCCTACCTGCTCTGCCAAGAATGTAAAGAATCATTGGCTCTTGACATCATTCTCTTGCCAAAGGGCAATTACCTATTCTGTATGCATTGCCTTAATCATGTCAAGTTGTGTCCCATAAATTTGCATGTCTCCCAAGGAAGCACGGTGCATTGCCAGCAGCCTGATAGGCCAGATCAAAACAATTTCCTGGTGTGTGTTTACATCAGCTTTTGGCTTCTGAGCTGCTTTAGCTGTAGTTGCTCTGCAAAACAGCACAAATTCCCTCTCTCTGAACTGAGCTGCATCAGGGGCAGAGGGGGGAGTAAGCAGAGTCTGGATGGATGCATCGTCCTTCCCAGAGCTGAGCAATGCCTTCTAGATTAATGAACTGCAAATCAGCTACACAAATGAAACCACATGCTAGAGATAAACACAGTCCTCTGAGATGGGCTTGTTGTCACAGTCAGAGAGGAGAGAGAGCACACACACATGTGTGACTAGGGGCGTAATGAGTGCCAGCTTCCCTCCTGCCTCTCTGGGATATGTGAGAATGACAAACTCTCTGAGGAACAATTCCTTTGACTGGCTCGTTGAGGAAAGGAAACTTGTCATGCTGCCAAGAATAAAACTGCTCCTGGGCTTAGTTTTGAATTTTATAAAGTGAATAAGTGAAAAATGTATACACACTCACTTCAGACCCAAGTCATGAATAATTAAAAGAATATATAATTGTACCCAGCTTTCCCCTCCAGCTCAAGCAGCAGAGATATCTTCTGTCCGTGTAACAGGGCACATCGTGTGTTTTGTGGCTTTTTGCAGGAGCTGTTGGAAGTGAGCTGAACTGAATCCATCCTGCATGCAGGTAGGAATTACAGCCTGACCATCACAGCACACAGAAACACAAACTGAGAACTCAACTGTTTCGTATCAAGGAAGCTGCAGATTTTTTTGATTATGCTTAACATTTTCCTGGTGTGAGTCATCCACAATTGATACTGGATTTAGACCACAATATGATAAAAATTAAATTAACACAGCGTTATTGTAGACTTTAATACTGCGAATGGAAAAGATCAGACATTTTTATAAGGCACAGGAAGGTAAGAATGTTTACCATGTCAAAAATAAATATGCAGAAAATAACCTCAGAAAACAAAAGTTATCTGTATCTAACTATTTCCCTTTTCTGAGACAGGCACACTTCTCAGTACAAATTTAGGAATGTTGAATGAATGGTATACAACCACACATTGCTCTGCAATTCTACTGCTGTACTGGAATTATCTAGTGGTACCTACCTGGAAGGAGATGCAAGAGATCTATTGCTTTCGTTTTTATGCCTTAGTCCCACAATTAATAGGTTCCCCAATTTTCAGCCAAAATGCAATTCAGGATTAATATTCACTTTTCTTGAGGGGATAGAAGTTAGCAAATATGTATGAATAGTCATGTATTTAGTACCTTTGACTCACAATATAGAAATCTTATTTAAAGACATTAACAAATTCTGTAAACAAAACAATCATTATACATCCCCTCCCTTCCAAACACAAAGTTTCTCATGGGTAGCAAACTGGTTCTTTCTTCTTCTCACACCAGTATGGCTGATTGTAGCCAACACGTTGTGATGCTCTCTGATAGAGAAAAAAGATATAAAACCCTCTGAAAATCATACAGAGAGAGGATCAGTAGGTTGTATGGAGGTAACAGCTATGGCCTTGAAATAGCAAACGTGGGGGATTTTGTTTGACTCTTAGAAGGATGCACATTCTATTTTTGTACTTCTGCAGCTGAATTCCAAACACAAGTTCTTCATGTAGACCTGGCTTAGAACTTGGCCAGAGATGGAAAACACAAAACACCAGAGGGGTGTGTTAGGGGATGTGAAGTGAAAGTGCTTAAAATGAATCCACTACAGCATTGTGAGCTGCACCTGAAGTGGTTCAGGAAGCCTGGGAAGAGAGAACACAGCGACACAGACTGTTGGATCAATAACTTAGCTCATGATATGCAAAGAGTGTGAAACTCAGCTGTCATTGCAGTGGGACAACTGAGGGCAACACAATGGCTTTAAAGAGGAGATGACAGAAATATCAGAAGTGAAGCAGAATATTATACAGCACCTACCTCTTATCCAGGTATCTGAGAGCTGCTAACATGTTGATCTTGTTGTTTCATATCACTGTTGTCCAAGGCAGGAGCCAAATTATTTTTATGGACTACAAAAAGGGCAAAATAAAGCTGCAAAAACCCCCCCCCCACTAAAGTATCTGGATTTCCTGTATAGGGAAAATGGCAAGGAGGAATTCTGTACAAATGCAGTCTCCACATCCACCCCCACTGGGACAGACTTTCAAATTAATGTTTTCAAGTTCCAACATTTCTGAGCTGTTGCTTGAACCACTTTAAAGGGAGATATTTCCACCCAGTTGATGGGGTTTTCTTATATTACTAGAAAATATTTTTTCTAATATGTAAAATGTGAAAGGACTATAAAAAAGGGGAACGTTTTGTATTCTGCTAGTTTTGATCACTAATTTCTATTTAAAGGTTAATTGTCAATTATGTCAGACCCCAAAATTGTGTAACAGTTGATTTTCCCTATGCACAGGACAAAATGCATACAACAGAGCCTTATTCCTTCAAGCCTGTTCTCTTTAGTAATGTTTTCATATCAGAAACTGCTTATATTTGCAATTATCTTATGTTTAAAAACATAATTATTCAACATTCCTCAGTAGTTGGCTCTGACCTTTTGTTTGCTTGTTTTCTCGGTTCAATTTGAACACTTGATGGATTTCCAGCTATCTTGTGCCACCCCGTGTAAGAGCTGGGAAATTACACAACTTTCTGACCACTGTGACCCGAGTTCGGCATTGGAGTCCTGCAGATGAGTTTCGTGCACTTTGAAGACACTTTTCAGTTTATCAGCAACTGAGGCACATTTAAAAAGTATTGAAATTTTTTAATATGAAAACTAATTTTTTCTTAAAACGTGATTTCTTTGTACTTAAGCTAGTTCTTCCTTTACATTTGTAACTTTTACATGATAATGTGCATGATACTAGTTCTTTAGGAATGTGTTTTCAATATTCTAATTAATATACCTTCATAATTGTGCTCTTTCCCGTTATTTGCACTTTCTTTATTTGCTGGTTGGTGGTGCTTGCTTTTTCTTTAGTGGTATTTTTCTTTCTCATGTTTTCCTCCATGCATTTTTTGCACCCTTACATCCCTTTTTAATTCCTTCCACACTTCTGCATATCAGTCACATTAATTCCAAGTTCATTTAGTACCCTACAATAAAAGAAACGTTGCTGCTATTGTTGTGTCTGTTGGGCAACAGATCAGCTGTGATCAAGTCGGTAGCTGTCTATATATTATGTGTTAGTGGAAAGTTCTAAACCTTAGCCAGAGCTTTCATTCTAGTTCTAAACTTAGTACTATTACAATCTGGAACGTGAAAGAGATAAAAGAAAAAAGATTTATCTACCTTTCTGTGATTTTACTGTGATGAAGGTCTGTGTTTAGGATACCGTGTTTATACAGGTGAAATTGTTAGCTGCAAATGGTGTGGTGATTCCGAGGTTTCCCTCGGTACTTCGGCTGCCGCGGTGTTAGTGCTGATATTGCCTGCACTCTTTTCCCTCATGCAGGAGGTTCCGCTCGTGCTTTTGACACTCCTCTCACACCTTGGGCTCCCGAAGCATCAGGCACGGCACTCCAGCCCTGCACAAACAACTCCGCGAGTGGATTTGACATTTTCCATCCCGTGTCCCTGGGCGACCCAGGACTCGAGCTCTCGGGTCAGTCCGGCGACAAGCGGCACGGGCGGTGGGGGCGGGCGGTATCGAGCCCAGGGACAACAGCTAATGAGCGTTAATCACGGCCAGCCGAGGGCTGCCCGGAGCACGGCCCGCCCCCGCCGCGGCCCGGGCGGTGCCAGCGCTCCTGGCCCGGTGCCGTCCCTCGGGCACAGCAGGGGCGGCCGAGGGCATTCGGCCAGCTCAGCCTGCAGGAGACTGAAGGACGAGCTCACTGCGGGCTGCAGCGCGCTCCCGAGGGGCAGCGCAGGGCACGCACTGATCTCTGCCCTGTGGCCGGGGACAGGGCCTGAGGGAACGCCTGGGGCAGGGCAGGGTATCAGGAAAAGGCTTTTCACTCGGAGAGTGCACTGAACAGGCTCCCCAAGGCAGTGCTCACAGCAGCAAGGCTAACAGAGTTCCAGGAGCGTTTGGATGACGCTGTGGGGCACGCCAAGTAAGCGTTACGGCGGCTAGGAGCCTCTCTCGGGGTCCCGCCCTCACGGCGGCCGTTCTGTCCCGCCTCACGCCCGCCCGCCCTCTCGGCAGGGCGAGCGCCGCCCCCGCTGCTCACGCATGCGCACGAGCGTCCGATCCGCGCGCGGCCCTGACCGTCACGTGACTCGGGCGGCGGATGCGGTTCCGGGTGAGCGCGGGCGCGCAGCGCAGCGCGGCCCCGAGCGCGGCCCGGCCCCGCCGCCGCTCCCGCCAGGTACGGCCGCGGAGGGGCGGGAGCGCCGGGCCGGGACCCCGGGCCGGGACCCCGGGCCGGGCCCGGGCCGGGCGGGGCGGGCGAGGGGCGAGGTGGGGCCGCGGCCCGACCGCAGGTGCGCAGGGGGCGGCGGATTCAGCGCTGTGGCCTGGCCGGGGCAGCGGCGGCGGCGCTGAGCAGAGACGCCGCGGCCGGGCAGCTCCTCGGCCCCGCTCCCCCTGCACAGGGAAGGGCTGTGAACGCGTAAATCTGCGAGGGGAAATTGCCCTGCCCTGCTCCGCCCCGCAGGATTCCGCACAGCGCGGCTGTTCCGCTGCAGGCGTAGCAGTTCGGAGCCTGCCACGGAAGTCAGCGTTGCCTTTGTCTTGGTTCCTCCTGATTTCCTGCTGCTAATGCAATAAGCTAAATAGTGGTTGATTATTTCTGATTGACTTGTATGCGTGTTTTAAGTCCTACAAAGGAATATCTGGGCAGGGTATAAGTTCTTAGTGTTTACCTTTAAACAAGTTTGAGTGGTGCATAAATACAGACCCTTGTGTTGCTCTGGATGTAGAGTTAAAAGTAGTATCCTCAGGAGAAAAGTAAGAGTTTTCAGAAGTTTTCTCTGTTTTCTCAGTTAGCTGTCTGACTTTTCTGTGCTTTGATGCTGAGGGAGAGAGGAAAGGAGACAATTGATCTATTATTAACTGTAGTTCTTGCATCGTCCCGTTTTGCAAACTTTCAAGTTGTAAAGTCTGGAGGGCCTTCTTCAGGTTTGGGAAACTTGTCTTGGATTTATGGCCAATCTGGCCACGTTCTAAAGACCATTGAAATTTAGAAATTGCAGTGAGCTGCATCCTGTGGGTTTGTGTACCAAAAATGTGTCTGTTCTATGCTTGAGGCTTGCTTTAAAATCAAATGTGAAAATTACTCTTAAAAGCACCTCTTTAATGCCTTAAACCTGGAATTAATAGTGTCTGAAACCCAGAATTACCTTGACACTCAGTTAATGTTCCTGTTGACACAATAAAGGTGAAATGTGGGGGGTGGAATGTAGGCTGACTTTGTTTTGAAGTTGATTTTGACATTTTGAGGTGGAACAGTTTTCTGTTCTTTGCCTATCAGGTACATTGAAAAAATGTAAACATGTACATTTTTAGTAAAAATGCATGACATTGAAATTGTCCTGTAAAGTTAAACTTTGTATTCTATTTTAGATGTGAGGGTGCTGATCAAGTACTGAATATAGGTATTAGTATTGGATAGGCAGATGTGACCTTGGAAATGTCTGGCTTGTAGTTATTTGTGCATTTGCTTGAGAACTCAAAGGTGAAAGCCTAAATAACAATTTTTGCAAGCAGCCTTTAACTTCATGAATAAAATGATCTCATGCTTTGTGCTGTCCTTCTGTCCTACCTCTGCTGCCACCCTGTTTCGTGGGTATTTGGGAGAGACCCAAGTCTCTGTTTAGCTCTACTGTAAATTTTTATAAATGGCAATTTTTAACAGGCTTCTTAACATTGACGTACTTGATATTCCAGAACCAACCAGCTAAGGCAGCTTGGTATTAATGACAGAACTCTGAAAACTACCTATTTTCTAAGAAAAAAGGATGAAAACTGTGATATTTGACCTTGGTGCAAGCAGTGACATTCTTCAGATGCAAACTTAAGTAGGTTGGACCTGCTGTTCTGGAATGGAAATTTGTTCATTAGCTGTAGTGAAAGAGCAGTGGGTTTGAGTGATGTGTTCCTTTTTTGTAATACCATAACTTGCCTGTTGAGATACTTAAAAATATAAAAGGCATTGAAGATTGCTAAAGTCCAGTGGCTCCAGTAAGGGAGCAGAACCTCCTGGCAACCCTGCATTCAGATATTCTTTGATGTGTTGAAGTTTCTGACCTTTAGATAACTCTCCATCTTCCATTTCTTTATGTAAAATAGAAAGTAATGAGCAATGGAGGATAAGATCAGGCTTGCTCTCTTAGAAACCAAACGTTTTTGAGCTGGCCATGAAGTGTGCTAGGGTCAGGTGGAAATTATTTGCTTTTTTTCTACATGACTGATAAATACTTGCATTATTAAAATTTACATTTTTCCAAGTTACATTTTTAGATTTTAGATTTACAGCTGAATTAAAAAGGCTTTGGTATTTTAAAAACATGTTGGCAATGCCACAGCAGGAGTAGAAGGAGTATTCTAAACTCAGCTTTAGTGTGCATAAGCAGAAGTAGATTTTTTTTGCCTGCTAGTAAGCATTTAGATTTGTTGATGTGAAATAACTTTGAAGTCATCACTTTCCTAACTTTCTTGAAAAGGTTGCCCTTCCTTCTTAATTTCTCATTCTTCTAGTTGACAAATGATAGTGCTTTTATTGGTGAGATTTAAAGTCAAGACATCCAAACCAGCTACTTAGTCTGGGTGTGTTAAGTAGGATGCTGAAAACCTAAATTCAGTCTTATCTGAAGTTGAACTCCAAGCTTGCCTTGTAATTTGCTTTCAGGTGTTCTGTGTAGTACTTAGCACATGATTGCTTTGTAGTGTACCTCAACGGGAAGCTGCTGCTGAGAATTCTGCAAGTGGTGTGAGGAGTGTTCCATAAAAGCACCTTAAGTTTAGATAACAGCACCAGTAGCTTTTAAACTCCTCTTAGTACAACAGGCTTATCCCAGGGTGATGAAGTGCTGGTGTGTGGGATTCTTCAGAAGTGTGGGAAGAGAACTGTTCAAGTCTTGGAGCAAGCCCCTGCTTTCAGGTGTCTGAGAACTGGCTGGGGAACGCAGTGCAGGTCAAGGGGAGCATCTTACAGCCACCACACAGTGACAGGCGTGGGGAGGGTGATATTTGGTGTTCTGACTGCCAATTTTTTGTCCTTTAAGGCTGAAGTCATGAGTTAAGGTTTTCTTTCAGGTTTATAGTCACCTGCATATTTGCACCAGCTGGTTCATTCCATGCTGCTGGTAACCACTGCCTTCTGCTGACTGCTGAGGGCCCTGGGGAAACTCCTTGGGCTTCATCCCAGTGTCCTGAAACAAATGCACAGAGAGCTCTGCACACATTCACTGTTACTGCTGATCCAAATGGGACCTTCCCTCTGAGCAAATATTTCAAACCCACTGTTGCAGCCAGCAGGTTGGTGGCCAGGAGTACCCACACCTTGTATGCTGAGAACATCAGCTTGGTGAGAGGCAGGACTTGTTTCCCAGCAGTGCTGTAGTCAGGACAAACAGGGAGAGCTGGGAGGGCACTGCTGAAGAAAACAGCTGAGAGGTGCAGGTGCTGAATGTCTCAAACAGGGGGAGTCTGGCCCTGAAGAGGAACTAGGTTCCTACCGTCTAGAAATTTTATTTAAATTTTCTGGGTGAGGGAAGCAGGGAAATGTCAGTAAAACAGGCTTAACTTGAGATCATTAGTGTTTAATTTGTAGCACTGCAGTTTTACAAAAAGATCACTTTATTTTTCTTTATTAATCAACTTGCATAGTGTAGCTTTAAGCATTGCAGGACATTTTAAAATCAGGTCAGGAGATGAAAAATTTAATTTGTCATGAAAGGAAAGCTGGTCCTACAGAACAGTAAGTGTAATTTGGTTTTCACCCATGTAAAAAAAATTATATCTCTTGTCACAGACACATTTTATGAAAAGTCCTTTCCTTAGGATTTTTTCTCCTGAAAAGCCAAGAGGCCTCAGGAACAAAATGTAAACAGTGGTTTGCTGCTGTGGCATGCAACAGGTGCATCTGTGACTGGTCCCATGTGGTTGGTTGTAATTAATGGCCAATCACAGTCAGCTGGCTCGGACTCTCTGTCCAAGCCACAAACCTTTGTTATCATTCTTTCTTTTTCTATTCTTAGCCAGCCTTCTGATGAAATCCTTTCTTCTATTCTTTTAGTATAGTTTTAATATAATATATATCATAAAATAATAAATCAAGCCTTCTGAAACATGGAGTCAGATCTCTGTCTCTTCCCTCACCCTGTGACCCCTGTGAACACTGCCACAATCTCTGGGTTAATAAGCAGTGTTGGTTGCATTCAAACTTTGTACTTACTGCTGTTCTGTGTTGATTGGTTCTTTGCAAAATATCATGGTTTCTTATTTTGATGGATGTTGGTTTTCTTAATTCCTTCATTGATAATTTTACCTGTTTCTGCCAATCTTTAGCACCAACACAGCCAAGAGCTTCAGCTGGTTTGGGCTTCTATGTCAGCAGAATGGTCTACCATGTTCTGTTATTGGGGATTCCTCGTTGCTGGTGATGGGTGAGCCTGAAAAACAACAGCTATACTTGCACATCATAGGGTGAGTTCTCCAAAAACACTGTCTTAAATAGTTATCTTTAAAGTGTTTGGGTTGTTTGTGGGTTTTTTTTTCTTTTTAAATGGCTTGTAGTTGAGATCTGACCATCTGGACTTTTTCTCAAAATATACACTTATTAATTTTCTCCTATAGAATCCAGAGATACATCTGGTTTCTTACATTTTGTGTAATCTGAGTGAACTGATGTAATCATAAATGATAGAACAGGTTGCTCAAGGCCTTAATTTTAACTGAGGGGTTGATCCTCCTTGACTGCATTAAGTCCCTTCCAACCTAAGTTATTGTATGATAAACCATTCCCACAAGCAGTTTTGTATGGGGGGAAAAAAAAGTAAAATGGAAACAAATATAAAACTATTCCCTGTGGTGTTTATTTTTTATTCTGCATAATACCTCAACTTGATAAGTGAAAGGATGTGTTGGAAGTGTGGGAATTACCACAGTATTGAGCTAACACCTTCTGTTATGTTCCTGCAGCTCCTCTTTAGCCCGTTGTGCTGAAGACCAGAGGTTCTGCCTGACCAGGAGTCTCTGTTAGCAACTGAAGTTAGCTGGAGAATGGAAGGGGTTGAGTTTAAGGAAGAGTGGCAAGATGAAGATTTTCCAAGGTTTTGAATTCTTTTTTAAAGTAATTTGGATCAAACACATAACATCAGCAATAAGCTACCTCTTGGTCTTCCTGGTGAACTAATAGTAATAATCTTGCTGTGATTTCCATTAATAGAGCAGTTTTGAAAAGGTTTTGTGGCATATTTCTTCAGGGTTGCCGCTGTTGACATTTCCAGTGTTTTTAAATGAAGATTTGTAAGCTTGGCTTTGTTTATTTCCTGTGAAAATATTTTGCAACTACATTGTTTGCATATAACTCCCAGTGTCTCATGACCCAAATATTTCATTAAGCAAAATAATGAGGAAAGGCTTTAAAAGTTAATGCTGCTACTGATGCTTGGGCCTACAAAAAAATTAGCTTTAGATGCTTTCTATGATTAAACTACTTCTGTAATTTATTTCACATCAAATTTTGTCAAGCAAGAATATGACAAGTTTTCTGAAGGATGACACACTGGTAGTAGTCAGTGTTTTGGTATTTGTCACAGGATGGGATGGTCACTTGAATGCTGTAAAGGAATTTTCTGCTGCCTTGGTGTTTGTTTCCTGAAATCTTGCATTTAGGCTATAAGTCAAGTTAATTCAGTACTGACTTTACAGTGGGTCTTCATAGTAATGTCTAAGTCTTAATATATGGCATTAAAAAAAAGTCAAAGCAGGTTTGTAACAATAATTGCTTTGCGTCCCAGGCCCCTGCCAGAGGATGATCCTGTTGAGTCTGATGCACTGGCTGCAGCTGGAGCAGAAAATGAAGCTGGTAAGAACATTCCACTCCAGTCCAGCTACTGCTTCCTCCTTAAAAGGCTGCTTTAAAGCTCCTTAGTGTGGGGGGATTTTATTGCTTGTTTTGTTTTGGGGGTTTTGGGATTTTTTTTTTTGGTCTTGTTTTTTGGGGTTTTTCTTTGTTTGTTTTTTGTTTGTTTTGGTTTTTTGTTTTTGTTTTGTTTTTGTTTTGTTTTTGTTTTGTTTTTGTTTTGTTTTTGTTTTGTTTTTGTTTTGTTTTTGTTTTGTTTTTGTTTTGTTTTTGTTTCATTGATTGGAGTCTTGGAGGTTTTTGCATGTAAAATTTGTTTGGATTTTGTCTCTCTGCTTTACTTGCAGCATTTCCAGTGCTGGATTGGTAATCTGATTTTATTCCTTGCTTTCAACTCCTATCTAAATCATGCCAATATTTGCCTTGTACCTCAAAGCATTCTGTGTATTCACAGAACAGATTCTTTAATTTTATGTCCTCACTGTTGTCTGTCAGTCTTTTTTTTTTAGCTGGTATATAATTTTCTATTTTATCAAAGATAGTTATGATGTCACTGAAGCCTAACAAAAGCAAGTGCTAGGGACATGAACCTGTTGTATTATTTGTGAGATGGATTCAGTGCAATATCTGGAGCAGCTGCTGGGGCACGTGGATGCAGCAGGCAGGGGGAGCAGTGTCTGCCATCCTGCTCAGACTGTGTGTGCAATGGGTGATTTGAGAACTTTTACCTGCTGTTCTTTCCATGCCCTATTAAAGTCTTACTCCAAAGATAGCTTGCTTAAATTATGGGCATTAATTTATAATGCATTATGAGAAAGAACTGTGCTCTTCTGTCTTGGTAATATGGTTATTTAAAGTTGCTTTAGCAATTAAAATCATAAAAAAAATTAATTTGCTTTCTTTAGATACAGAGGGTAACGGAACCAAACTGAGGAAGAAACTAATGGCTCCAGATATTAGCTTAAATTTGGATCCCAGTGAGGAATCTGTTTTTTCTGATGACTTGGATGAAAGTGGAGAGATTGATTTGGATGATTTAGATACTCCTTCAGAAAATAGCAATGAATTTGAATGGGAAGGTGAGTATTTTGGTTCTTTTGTCTGATGCTCTAAAATATTTTCTTGTGTGCAGGTTGACTGTTTCTCTAGTAAGAAATAGCTATGACTCAGTAGTACAAGAGGAGAAATACAAAGGTAGTGGTTATATTAGGAATTAGAAATAGATGCAGTGACTTTTTAAAGAGCAAATCAGACCTCATCTGATCAATAAACAGGCAAGCAGATACTAGCTGTAACTGCAGGTAAACTTAGGTGAAGATCATCTACATATGCATCTATAAGACTTGAAGTTGTGGAAAATCCTCTATTGCAGTAAGTTTTTAAGAACCACCCAACAGAAAAAAGTACCCAAGTATTTTACATGTGTTAGAAATGAGTTTTAAATGGAAGGAGCCAAACAAAGGGATATAGATTAACTACTCAGAAATTGATGAATTTCAATTTAAGGGGGACTGAATTGTATTTTTAAAAATACTAAGTAACACTTGATCTCATATCTTCCTGTGGTGACAATGACTAAAGCTCCGTAGCCTTAGAATATGCATATTTCCAGATTGACTAGAGGCAGTAAAAGAGCCTCTATTTTATGTCAGGAAATTCTGAAATTACTTCATAGGAATTTAAAGTAGCTATAGTCACACTGGTAATGATCTGTTTTAAGACATTAATACGTGTTATATATTATAGGCAAAACCTGGAGATTCTAACCAATTTTTTTTTCAGAGAAGTGTTTTGTGTAGGAGTTAAAGCACAAATTTTAAACTTTGAGTTTAATGATGTCTTAAGGCCCTCTTTATGGAAGCCAAGAGCAGTTGTGTTGGGCAAACTGTCTAACCTGTAAACTTCATGGTTTAGGAATGTCTCTAATAGTAAACATGTAATCTCAATTATTATTTTCTCATCCTGAAAATAAAATAATTTAAATTCCTGAAGTTCTCTGTTCACCGTTATGTTTGAAACACTACCTGTGGAGAAATAAATGCTCTTTAGATTACGGAGGTGGTTTTGGTTTTTAAATAGCTAAAGGCATATTGCAGTGGAAGTTTTCTTAACAGAGACTGTGTGTTTAAATTTCTAAAAGGATTTTCACTGTTTTAAAGAAGAATTGGTGTTTATGGTTGCTTTTGCAGTGATGCAAAGGGAATGTTCCGGATGTTTGTGTCTTGTTTTTAAAAGTGGCTGAAAAGGGTTTCTGTCTTTTCTTCCTTTAATGCTGCTGCCTTCATTTTCCTGGAAGGATAGTTTCAATTAACAGCTTTGTTTCGGGAACAGACAACTAACTTGCAGTAGGTTTTTCTCACTTTGGGTAAGGTCTATGCAACAAAGTCAAGAATCATAATTTCATTGGAGCAAATTGTCTTACAGATTCCTGTCAGCAAAAATTTCATCTATTTTGATTGCACATGTGAATTAGATTTAATTTCCAGTAGATTTGTCTGCATGTCTGCTTGCAAGGTACCTCAATGTTTTGAATCATGCTTCATGTAAATCTGTGATCAACCTCTGTAATTCTCATTGGAGTTAACCACTTTGTTTATTTTGGTGAAATTCATTGGGGTCTGTGTTCTGAAAGCCTACAATTAATTAGGCTTCTCCACGAATTGAAATTTTTCACATAGTTGTAATAGAGAAAATTGCAGTCAACAGATAACTGCAAACATGAGTGTGTTAATTCAAATATCCATGACATCAGTGGGTGTGTCTGACTGGCTGAAGAATACCAAAATAGATTAGATAGCAAAGTGGTTAACTTGTGTTGTAGATGATTGTCACTATGCATGGTATTCATAATGGGTCTTCAACATGTTCCCATTTTGGCAGATGATCTTCCAAAGCCCAAAACTACTGATGTCGTTAGGAAAGGCTCCCTGGCTGAGTACACTGAGGCAGAGGAGAAGGATGACGGCCGCCGCTGGCGAATGTTCCGGATCGGAGAGCAGGACCACAGGGTGGACATGAAGGCAATTGAACCGTACAAAAAAGTTATCAGTCATGGTGGTAAGGATTGCTGGTGTGCTCTGGGCAACTGCCAAGCAACTGCTTCTTTATCTGAGTTGGAGGGGCACAGAAAGAGCTTTGGGCATGAAGACTTGTAGTAATTAATTTGTTGCAGTGTTAAGACATGGTTGATAAAATAATTTTTTCTCTATTAAACTAAAGTTCCAAAATGTACTCATGGTCTCGTGTACTAAAATGCACCTATGTAATGAGATATATTTACTCTATCCTACAGTGTCACTGCTACTTATGTTTTTGGTTTCTAGACTATTGAAAACATTAACTATCCATCTAGTAAAGCAGAAATAAATTCATGGCTCTTCCCAACAGTCTGTGAAGTTTAGGTTGGAAGAAAAGTTGATTAAACTTTAAGAACATAAGATACTATTAAATCTACTGAGGTTGTACACTGAAATGTTTGTTATAGATGCAGTGTTTGATTAACATCAGCTTCAGCTGTTGCTTTAGAAGTAGACAAACTTGAAAAAGAGACCTTGATGTTTTCTGTAACTGTATGAATGTGTCCATATGGATGTGTGTACATCTCTTCAAGGTAAATAACAAAAAAGCTTAAGATTGTGTAAATGTAGTCAGTGTATTGTCACCTTTGTCACTACTGCTGCTGATTTCTTTTCATAGGTTATTATGGTGATGGGTTAAATGCCATTGTTGTGTTTGCTGTTTGCTTCATGCCTGAGAGCAGCCAGCCTAACTACAGATACCTAATGGACAATCTATTTAAGTGAGTCATCCTCTGCCTTTCTGGGTTTTTGTTATTTTTAATATATTTGAGCACTGCTAGGAATTACTTTCAGATGAAGATTGTGGATATTGAAATTTTCTTTGCTTATCTCTCCAGGTATGTAATTGGCACTTTAGAGCTGTTAGTAGCAGAGAACTATATGATAGTTTACCTGAATGGTGCAACAACACGGAGAAAAATGCCAAGTTTAGGCTGGCTTAGGAAATGTTACCAGCAAATTGACAGAAGGTAAGAAGCTCTGCAATATTTTCTTACAATATTCACGTGCTCAGAGATAGACATATTGAGGAAAAACTGCTTCTTCTGATTAAGATTTGCTGAAGGAAATTGGTGTATTGTATTCCTAAAACCTTTTCCTAAGCTAGGCAGTGTGGGATGATGCTACAAACATGCCTGGTAGTGTTGTGTGGTGGATTTTTTTGTTGCTTGGGGGTTTTGTTTATGCTTTTTGTGTCTGTTGTTCTCAGGGTGGTTTTTTTAGTGAAAATAGTACTCTTAGAATACTAAATATTGTAATCCTGTAGAATATCCTTACAACTTAATGTATTAGATATGATTTGTAGGAGAAGTCCTTTGTGAACCACTTTATCATTAGGTCTGCAAAGATATCCAGAGGAGCTTCTCCTTGGGATGTTACTTCCTTGTCAAATTGATACTGAATCTTTAGTTTTTATTTTATAGTTGTATAATACTATACACAGTTGTATAGTATTTTTTCCTCTGATGGAGGTTGACTTCTAATAATGGGATGTCAGAATACTGTGTTTATGTGACAGCTGTGCTTCTAAAAACATACTTCTTACATATTCCAATACCCCTGGTCATGCTGCCTTTTTGTTCCAGTAATTATCCCTTGTTTAAATCCTTCAGGTTAAGGAAAAACCTGAAATCCTTGATCATAGTTCATCCTTCCTGGTTCATCAGAACTCTCCTGGCCATCACAAAACCTTTTATTAGGTAATGCTCTGGGAGCCTTTCTATAAATAATTCTGACAACTGTTTGCTTTGAACTTAAAAGACTGTTTTAATATTGACCTAATGAAAAATGTTTAGAGTTGTAACTGTGCCCTGCATTTGTTCTTCCACAGCTCAAAATTCAGCCAAAAAATTAGGTATGTCTTTACCCTGGCAGAACTAGCTGAACTCATCCCCATGGAATACGTTGGCATCCCAGAGTGCATAAAACAGTACGTTTCATTATTCCAACATCTTCTACACAGATCATGCTTCAGGGTGTTGTAATCAGTGTTTGGTCTGAATGTAACACTTGGCACATAATGACTTAACTGAGATTACTGCTCTGTCTAGGAGGAGTGGCCATGCTAGACTTCATTGCTAAAGGCAGTTTGGAATGGAGTAGCATGGACAGCCAAAATGTTCATGTGTAGTCATTTTAACAGTGAGCTTTGTGCAATTACTGAGTTGTGTGTAAATTAAGCCTTCTAGAGAAGGTCTCATTCCAGTTGTTCTGCACCTTGGTGGGTATATAAAACTGGTTTGTGAGTGAGAAATTGTGGGCAAGTTGATGCTGAAGTTATTTATAAGTCTTCTAAAGTGTTTTAATTAAAATGTGGAACAAGTTAAGTGCTGAAATACCACTTGGATTGGGTTTTCATTTGAAAGAAAAGCAGTGATGGGAAAATGCTGAATCCCTACTCACTACAGTTCTAAACTATCTTGGTAAAGAAATGAAGACAGCATCAGTGCAAGCTTTTTTTCCTTCCCATCCAGATAAAAATAGCCATTTTAACATCAGCATAATTCTGCTGTCAAACAAGATGATGATCCTTTTGTCAATAGCATTTGTGAATGCAGTAATAGAGTAGAAACCATAAACTTGGGTCTTTAAGAAAACCAGATGGAAACACTAACAGTCCTGATGACAGCCTGTTAGGGGTGTGACACACAAACCCTGTGTTGTCTGCATTGCAATAGGTGCCACAAACTGGGGCAAGGTGGCACTGAGGGCACAGCCATGCTGGGCAAAGCCTCGTGCCCCCTGCAGATGGCTGCTTGTTTCAGTAGACATCCAGCTGCTGTCAGCTCCACAATTTAACTCTCTGTAGGACAGAAAAACAGATTTCATGGGGTGGGAGTGAAACATGTGACAAAGCTGAGGCAGCCTTGTGATGTCTTTAGAATTTTTTGTCTGGGGTTTTATGGGTGTCTTATGAATATTCAGACTGTCTTTCTGAGTTTTAAAAGATTTCTCTCTGTATTGATGAACCTTTAACTGTTCTGCAAAGTCTAGACATGGTTAACTTAAAGAGTTAATTCTCAGATTTCTGTGGAGGATTATATCTGACTTCAAACTGTCGTGGATACAGGCTTTAAATTTTATTGATGAATGCTAACAAGAAGTCGTATTGAATTCATTTGTTACGTTGTAGTAAGTAAATCTTAATGGGTTTTGTTTAATGCTAATAAATGTTGCAGTTACGCTGTGGTTTTTTCTTAATTATGTCAGTTTCAAAATTAAGTTTCTGCAGACTGTTGACACTAAAACTGGTTTGCAGCTTCTGTTGATTTTGGCTTTTATATGTTATATTTACTGAAATAAAACTTTTCCTCACCAAGGTATGAAGAAGAAAAGTTTAGAAAGAAACAGAAAAGGTATATTCATCTTTTGATTAGGGTTGCATCTATATAAGACAATTTGCACTGCAACTAACTCCCAGTTGATTGGCTTGCATAAAGGAATAAGCATTTGTAAATATAAACATGCACTAGTGCCCAAGTGTTTCTGCCTGACAGCAGCTATACTGTACTTGCAGGCAGTATGGAATCTGCAAGAACTCAGCCTGGGTGTTCAGACAGCTATTTGTAAATAGTTTCTATTACACTTTTATGTGAGATGTTCACTTCTAAGGGGATACATGGGTTCTCCACTTGAAGAGGCAAAAGTAGTGCTTCTGTGTGAACCCATTAAAGCAAATGTCATTGTTTCTAACAGGAATTGATCTCTGGAGATGAGCTGTACTTAGTGCTAAGCTGTAGCTATGCATTAGCAGAGATGCAACTCTGTAAGAAGTTCTAATACTGAATCTTGTATTTTTGGTATTTGCTACCTTTTTAGTTATTAACTTGCATAGATGCAATCTAAATTAGTATTTTAGTGCTGTTTGTATTTGCAGTGCCTGCGTTCCTTCCTAATAAATACTTTGTTAATTTCCAGTCTCCTGCTAACTATTCAAGCTATTCCACAGCTGATGAATTTTTTGAATGGATATGCTATTTTTTCACTCACTAACAAATTGACTGAAAGATTTTGCTACTAACTTTGGAGTTTTTTTAATTACTTTTCCTTTGTGTGCCTAACTATTAAGGAAGGCTTATTGTCTAAATTGGGTAGAGGAACACTGAGATTGAAGTAAAAGGAATTTCAATTATTTCTGGAAGCTCATATGTAAATCTAGTCATGTGTTGAACATTCTTCAGGAATTACTCCAATTAAGTGATAATGTAAAAAATCTACAGTAGAACAAGCACCTTTTTGTGTCCCTGTTGATAACTTCACCTATACTACCATCACTTTTGTAAAACGTAATATGTTCTTCAGTGAAAATCAGATATAGAGATCACAGGCAGAATTGGATTCTGAGCCTTCAATCAGGTAGAAAGCAGCTCCTTTTTATGGGTTTGTGGCCCAGAGGAGCTTTCACTGTTTCTATCATTTTGAAAAACTGGCTGGTTATAGTTTGAGAGACTGGACAGGTATGTTAGACAGATTGTTAGAGGTAATGTCTCACTTTAGAACTTTTGGTTTTAAAATTAATTTACCTCCATGCACAACTTATTTGCCAGAAGATATTATCAAGACTGTAGCTTGTTCTTACTGTAAAGAGGAAAAGTACAATTTGTGTAGGGGTTCCAATCCAATCATCCCCTGGTTTCTGCAAAGCAGCATTTTGTTTGCTGGTCCCAAGGCAGATAGCAAAAAATAAGGTACAAAATCAAACCCACTTTTATCAGCATGATGGTGAATTTTTCCAGGGTAATTGCAAGAGGCTTAGAACATAACAGAAAAATTATTGCAGTTAAGGAGCCTCTTCACTTTTGTTAATTCAACTAGTGCTGTTACCTTTAATGTTAGAGTAATTAAGCCAAGAAGGTAATTAATTCAGTGCTTATGAATTCATCAGTGGTAGTGCTTGCCACTATTGTCATGTTACCTGTACTGTATTTCTGTTTGCATTTGTTATTATGAGCACAGGCCATGCTTTTTTGTTCTGTAGTCAAACTTGACTTGCACTTTTCAAATGCTTCCTCCCAACTGCTGTAGTTACTTAAATGGTTTGCTAACAATTTTAATTAATTTTTAGGGGGTGGTAGGAAAATAGATATTGAAAAGAACCCAAACATCATGACTACATTAAATTAAAACCTTAATTTAATATTTATTTACTAAAACTTTTCCCATATGAAAGCTTTGTGTTTTCCTGTTAAGGTTAATATTTTTTTCTTAATAATATGAGCTGTCAAACTATGTTAACATAGTTTAATCTTACTGCTTTCTTTGCTGAGCAGAGTTGACCAAGAGCTGAATGGAAAACAAGAGCAGAAAAGTGAACAGTAAGTTTGGAGTCCAGACAAGACTGAAGAATGCCCAGATGGAAGGATGCTATTTGTGCTCCATTACAGTGCATTCTCTGTGTGTATGTATTATATAATCTGTTGCAAAAGGTGCTTTGGATTAGCACACCATGAACTGCTTACTGCTGTATTGGTTTGTCTTGACTTTACTTGCTGTTTTATGTAATCATTTTGTACTGCTAAATGGCAAAGAACCCTATGTTTTCAGAGGATGTTCTTGCAGCTGTTTATCTAAATGATGCATGTTCTTCAGTAAAATATTTATATAACTAAATGTTAAAGGAAAGAGATAATATATATATTTTTATGACTGAACAGTATAGTGTGTGTACCTGCTGAAGGAATTCATTTGCAGGTAGACAAGGCCATAAGTTACTTGTTCTTATTGTATAAATCTGTTTTGCTGTAAATGGTCAAGTGCATTTCTTTGTTGTCATGAAAACTTGTTTGGATATTAACAATCATTATTAACTTGGCTTTCACAAATACAGAGATCCTTATTTTTGTTCATTTCCCTTACACAAGCTCACTCCTTTACCTCACCAGAGTGAGCTTCAGCTTTGGTGTCCTTCAGTGCATCATTCAGGATGCAGAACTGCAGTTCTGTGGGTGGCACTTTGTTGGCCAGAAGGTTTAAGCCTAAGCCACAAAAGCTGAACTGACTGGTAAGATACCAGACCTTTTTCAGTTGAAGTTGTGAATTTAGATTCTGCTTCAGTATGTCAAGACTGTCCCAGCTAGCAGTAGGAAATGAGTTCATTGCAGTTCTTTGTGGGTGAATCTTGATTGTTATTGATGGAAACTCTGGTCATGCTCAATAGAACCTGGGAGCTACACAGGTATTCTAGCCACAATACCATTTCTTGGGCAGAAATATGAGAAGTTTTATGCAACCTGTGTCATTCTTGTAGATGAAACATGCATTTCTAAAGTTGTTAGGCACATGATACCAGCACTAATTTATCTTTTAAGAAGCGTTTTAAAGGTTGGGGTGTTTTCCCTCCCTGCAGTGGTGGTAAATCTGTGTCTGCAAGAGGTCTTCTTGGACACATAACTAATGTGTCTGGGTTTGCTGGGACAACAGTAATGCACTGGTTGATACATTGTAAAAGTTTGTAACATCTTTTGATAAACGTTGCATTTTCCATGTAAGGGCAGGTGTACGCAAATAAATTCATTCAGGAGTTGAGCAATTTCATGTTGTAGCAAGTATATTAAATCTTTGCTTTTGGTGTTTATTGTGCTCACAATTTTGTCTTAATGCTAAAAAATATCACTTTTTAACTATATTTAATGTTACTCAGTTATCTTATAAAAGAAGAAGTTATGTTCAACCAGATTATTACATGACACGGAGAAATAGCAGTTGTGAGATATTCCCTGGTCAAGACTTACCAAGTAACAATTAATCCACTGTCTCCAGTGATACCTGCATAGACTCTGAGAGCATATGGATGTCAGGTGAGGGAAAACTCATGTTTCTGGAGGTTTACTCAAGTCTGCAGTTCAGATACTTTCATCTCAAGATCAAAGTCCTTTTGTTGCAGTAGTTTCTGTATCAGAGTTTCAAGGAGATTGATAGGCAGGATGTATTCACACAACAGAGATAATATCAATGCCAAGTTACCTTGCATCCACGCCATCAGGTTTGCATCTTGCTCTGAAAGCAGAACACAAATGCACTTTCTTTGGGGCTGTCTTATCTCCTGCTTCAGTTTTGATGTTGACAGATTATTGTAAAGTTCAAGTCAGTACATGGAGCTCTTGCAGCCTTGTTTACTTTGGATACTTTCACAGTGGGGTCTGTATGACCGTGCAAATCTGATTTTTACTGGGTTTGCACGTGTCCTAAGCTAAACAGGAAGCATTCTGATTGTCTCATTTCCATTTTTTCCTAATTGATAAAAGCATTAGTCTCAGTAAAATTGTATTTTTAATGGAGGGATTGTAGTTCTCTGTCCTGTGGCTTCCTGTGTGTATAGTGCAGTACAGACTAGCCATTCCTCTGTATATGCCACATTTACTAAATGATGGGATTGTTATTGTGTTTCCTGGTGGCCAAGGATTCTACAGTTTCATGCTGCAGTAGTATGGTTTCTGTTGGAAATGTGTATGTGCTTATAAATGGTTTATTTCTCTGGTGTAAGTTGTGAATGAGTATACAGCACAGCAGTTGTTCTGTCTCTAAAGATACGCAGCTTGAGAAAGAAGTGTATTAAAATATTATTCCCCTCTGCCTCCTTGCAGCTCATCATTTAGTGGTGAGGTGGATGTTTACAAAAAGCAAAGTGGTCCCAAAGCTATGGATAATGTTTTGTCAGACTTAACCTTTTTGAAATTTATAATATAATGTAATATATTTTAATATTAAAAAACCTGAAAAGTTGGAATGTCATGCTTAAATAAAAATTATTTCAAAACTTGAATCACTTTGTGATAAGATACAGTTTTGGAGGGAATTCACATTTCAATGGCACTTCCTTCTAAAAGTAAGAGTAATTTTGGTAGAATTTGGTGACCCCTGTCAAGAAAAAATTTCCTGAGTCACTGATTTACCTCTGATTTGGAGGTCATAGTTGATATATATTTATATATGTAGTAATAAGTCATTACCTATCTCATTACTGCTGTGCACAGCTGAAATAGAGATGTTGGGGCCAGTGGCCTCTCGATGTGACATTTCCTGATGATTTCTGCAACGGGGTAAATTCAGAAGTGGCAAAGAGATTCTGGAGAAAGTGTCATTAAAAACTGGTGTGAGTAGACTCTGGATTTGCTTGAATGTTCTTGATCTGTGTAATGTGGCAGGGCCACGTTCTGTTGGAGGGTAATGGGAAAGGATTTAGAGCTGAAGCAGACTGAAGAACTTTTATTCCAAAAAGGGTAGAACTAGCTAGAATAATGTCAGAAGCCTTACAAATCTTGCAGTTGAAATTCTCACTCGATCCTTGTGGATGCAGGTCATGCTCAAGAGGATTTGTTTCACTCAATGCTTGTCAGAGACACTTGAAACAAGTGCTTTAATTATACTTCTTAAGGACACCTTCTTTTAGTCAGAGTAACACTCTGAAATGTAAGGAATATTTAAATATTAATCTTCTGAAAGACATCTTGGAGCTTTCCTAGCTTCAAAATTCTATGTTGAACTACCCTGTTTCTTTTATCACATCTCATTACCCATATTAAAATAACAGGAAAAAAGAGCATTGGTGAGGAGGGTGCAGTCATGTTAGTTTTTCATCATTCCCTTCAAGCATGACTGAAATCAGTGAAATTAAAGCCATTCTTTGCTCAAACTAGATTTTTTTTTCAGTTTTGCAATTTGAACTGCTCAGATTACTCTGATTTACATGCATTTTTTTAGTATTGAAAATGATCTGCAGAGAAGCTTTCAGAGTGCTTTCCAAACGTCCTTATCTTACCATATTCCTTACTCTAGCTTGCTCAACTGCTAGTTAATACTGGTAAGATGGAATTGCAGGTTAATCATTACAAATAAACATTCATGGACAACAGATGCTTAGTTTACCACTGGTTCTGCAGTTCTGCAATGTTTCTTTTCATTAACAAAAGTTTTTATTAACAAGAAAGACCTGAGCTGTAGGTGCTCTAATGGTTGAACGGCACATTAGAATGATTACACTGTCAATTAGTGTCTGTAAACTTTATTGTGGGCGATAATGGGAACCGTGCAGTGTTTAACAAAGTGAAGCTGTAGTAATCATGCAAAAGCACAGATTTTGAGTCACTGATAATAGAACTGGCTTCATTGGGCTAGTAGCACTCTTCACAGATGTGACTATTTTCCTTTGTCCCTCTAATAGAAAAAATGTAAGTAGAAGACTTCACCTACCTCTTAAGAATATTACCATCCTTTCTTTTTAAATGAGCTTGTTTTCTGCGTTCCGAGGCGTGCCGGGGTGAGCCCGTGAGTCATTTACCGCCGGCTCTATGCACCGAGCCGCAGCCGGACCCCTGCGGGCCTCGGCCGGAGCCCTGAGGGCGCCGCTGGCCCCGCCCCGTTCCGCTTCCGGCCCGCGCCGCCGGGCGGGGCCGCGCTTCCGGCCGCGCGCGGGGAGGGCCGATGGCGGCGCGGGGCCGGGGCCGGGGCCGCTTCCCGGGGCGGCGGCGGGGCCGGGGCCGGGTGGGGCTCGGCGGGGTCGCGCCGTGCTCGGCTCCCGCCCGGAATGGCTCCGGCCGGGCCGGCTCCCGGAGCCGGGCCGGCCTCTCGGTTGTGCGGCGCCGGAGCGCAGCCGAGGGCCGGGCGGTGTTGCGGGGCGCTCTCTGTAGTGTGCGTGCCCGGCGGGCTGGGCCGTGGGGCGGGCAGGGATTTATTGTTACCTTTGTTTGTTTTCGGTGAGAGCGAGGACAGCCCAGGCGCGCAGCCGTGGATGAGCAGGACGTGTGCAGCCCTCGCAGGGAACCATGGCGTACCAGCTGTATAGGAACACCACGCTGGGCAACAGCCTTCAGGAGAGTCTGGATGAGCTCATACAGGTCGGGGCCTGGCGTCTGGGCCAGTAGCTTAATAAAGACAGAAGTTTTTATCCAAACGGCTTTGTTGTTCCTGTGTCAGGGTACTTAGGGCCAAGGTTTGGGAAACTTCCTGACTGAGATCGTAAGGGTTTGGCGCTACATTCACTTATGATGTTTTTTGCTTTGTATTCTAGGTAAAGGAAAGTGTTTTATGTAAGTGGCGTAGTTTTATGTAAATTAACAGCCAGATTAACTAGAACATTGGAGTCAGTTTGCTGTTCCTCTAGTTATCTCCAGTAAATATTTATTATAAGAGATCTTTGTGTAATACAGGATTGAAATATAAAAATGGAAATAAATACAGGAACATAATTTTTGTAGAGTGTTCTTCTAGAGATCTGCATCATTGAAGTGAACTTTGTTTTGATGTTTTTAACTTCTACTGCATGTTTGAGCTTACTTTGAAACAACTCAAAACTTGTTTTGTTTTCTTTTCAACTACTTCAGTCACAGCAAATCACACCTCAGTTGGCCCTTCAGGTGCTACTTCAGTTTGATAAAGCTATAAATTCAGCACTGGCACAGCGAGTCAGGAACAGAGTCAATTTCAGGGTAAGGAAATGATATGTTAAATTTTTACGTGAGATACAGCGGCTAAGTGTTGATGTGGAATGCATTGAAAGCTATGTGCTCTAAGCAAGAACTTAAGAGGGTTTATTTTGGCTCTAATAATGACTGTTTACGTGTGTATTCTGTATGCAGCTGTAAGGCTTGTTACTTTGTTCTGCCAGGGATCTTTTGAATGAATGCAGAAATCAGATGATGAAAACAGGGAAGAGGGAATTGCTTTTTTGGTGGATAACATTGCCATCCTCAGTGTCTTGCAGATGAGAAGGGAGACTTCTGCTTCTCACAGCTGTCCCTAGCAAAAGTGGGATGAGGCCAGATTTTCAGCCACATGAGTAATGTGAAGAGAGACTAGAGAGTTTTAGATCCACCCTTTCACTGGATCATTTTGTAGCTATTTTCTGTAGGTATCGTAGAAAAATAAGTTGGGGGGTGTTCCCAGTCAGCCACCCTAATTAATGTTAGATAGCCAGCAAGTTGTTAAACATCAACTTGAATGTAATGTTAAGGAAAAAAAAAAACCACAAAACCCAGCTTTGTGTTAACTTGTTGTGATACTACTCTGCAGTCTGTAGAACACATTCACAATGTGGGTTCCTAAAAGACTTAAGAGTTTTAAACAATATAGAGATGTTAAAAATGCATAATTTCTCTAGCACACTTAAATTGCTTTGTATATGTAGCATGGTATAATAAACAGTTTAGCATGTATTTAGTGGGTAAATTTAAAAAATGTTACCTGGAGCTTAAGTTCTAGGTTCAAGAATGTCAATTTAAAATATGTAAAAGTGAAGGCCAGAAGTTTTCCATATTGACATCCTCAGTAACACATCAAATAGCAGGGATACCCCTTTATGTCACATATGTCAGTTTTGTAGTGATTTTTTATTTAAGCTACCACTTTGTTTAAGCAGTTGCAGAATTCATATATTGTTATGATCACTGCTGTATCTGATTTTTCTAATGGCCCAATGTTTTAAGAAATGTTTCCTGCTACTGATCCTTTGTACACGTTGAAAATATTGCCTCCCCTTGGATATCCTGTAACGTCACTCTGTGGTCTTGAGAATTTCAGCCACTGGAGGGCATTTAAACTCCAGTTTTCCTCAGGATTGCTTGCTTGCCAGTTTGTACGCATTCAGGTCCACTGTTGGCTTTGTAGCACTCTGTTCTAGAAGGGACACGGTTCAGTAGATACTCATCTTATTTTCTGTTGCTTTTGAGATGTGTCCTATAGCAAATGTCTCTTGTCTTTTTCTAGGGGTCTCTGAACACATACAGGTTCTGTGACAATGTATGGACATTTGTACTGAATGACGTGGAATTTAGGGAGGTCACTGAACTTGTGAAAGTGGATAAAGTGAAAATTGTAGCATGTGATGGAAAAAGTGAGTATGAAATATGATATAAATAGGTTGAGACACGAGTCTTGATTGCTTTTAGAGAGCTTTGACCGAGTGCCTTACTAAAGCCAGGTTGGCTGTATGACTTAGACAGAAGTAGGGCTCTGTATTCCCTTTACAGCATCTAATGGGAGATGAAACAAAAGGCAGCTAAATGCTTCCCTGACTCATAGGCACTGAGGCAGAGCCGTGTTAGGGACTGCTGTGCACCTGGGGCTGGCAAGTGCATACTACTAGAGCAATTAGAAAGTCAGAAGTAATCTTTATTTTCAGTCTGGTGAGTTTTCTAGTACTAAGCCATTTGTTGGGATAGCACCATGTTTTACTGAATCTGAAGAGTGCTTCAACTGTCTGAGTAAGGAATTGTCTGAGCAGTCATTCTCTGGCAACACTAACCCATGGAAAGCTTTTCCGTGCATTTGCAAGTCATGAGACGTATTTGTTGCCTGACAGACCCTCTGTTTGTACACTGCTTGTGGGAGTTTGCAATCCATATCTGCTTGACTGGATTACTTTTGTCCATGTCCCTTGAGATTCTTTACTGGAAAAAGTAAAACTTTTGTGGCAAGCTGCTTTATAACTTTTAAAACCATCAATGTGGCAGAGTATTGCTAAAGCTGTGTGAAATGGTGCTGCTTGTTTCATCCTCAGAGAGTGATGCTAAAAGCAGGAACTGAGCATGGAAAAGCCTTTATTTAAATGCACCATAGACCTCTGAAACAGGTTCTTCATGGCTTCCTGACCCTGGCATGCTTACAATAGTCCCTTCAAGTTGTAGTTCTAAAGATTTGACAGAATTTATTGTTTTCTCAACTTCTGGTATTAGCCAAGCATATAATCTTACTGCTTGGTTTTTGTGTGCTTATTATAGCTAGTGGAGGAAACCTTACATTCCAAGTATTAATCATTTTCATTCCTGATAAATTGTGCAGATAAGATTTAAACAACTGGCTGACTTGAAGTTGCTATTAACATTACAAGCTTTTTTTTTTTCCCACGAGAAGCTGACTTGTTGAAGGAACAGTGCTAAACACTGGCTTGTTGTTCTCCATATTTGAATTACATATTTTTTCCACAACTCTAAAAATAACAAAGTAGTAATGGTAGCGTATCAAAAACTGCACTGGCATTAATTAGTGATTCTGACAAAAGGTGAGAAGAGAGAATTGGTCTGAGTTGCTTTATGAAGATCATGCTCATTCTTGTACCTCTTTCAAAATACATGATAAGTTACAGCCAACACTCCACCAGAGCTTATGGTGCTGGATTTGAAGAAACATTTTTCCTTAGTAGATGAAAGCCAGATGTGCTTGTGGGTGACTGCAGTAAAGGGTTTGGGTATTGTTACATATTAGAGCAAAACTTTTAGTACATCATTTAGTACAAATTAATACATCTCTGGAGTTTTGTGCTGGCTCTTCTCAGTGTTGCTAAGTGAGGTGAAACAGCACAAGCAGTTCATGCATGGCATTGAGAGCAGTAGAGACAATAGGGTAGGTACAGAACATGTTCTAAAACGCTTGGGGAACGCTTTAGAACTTGGGGAAGATACCAGAGAAAGTTCTTGGTTCTCTGTTTTCAGTGAGGGTACGTATTTGTCTCACTTTCTCTTTTCTTTCCTAGACACTGGTTCCAATACTGCAGAATGAATAGACCTGTGGTTTGTCTGCAATATTTTCTGTTAGTATGCAGCACTTTCTGGAGAGAAGCATGGAAAGGGACTGATCGTACTCAATTCCTGTGATGCAGATGTGAGTTAATCCATACTAGAAAGCATCACAGAATGACAGCGGAAGAAATACCTGTAGCATTTCTTCATTTCACCTTATAGGGCATGAATATAATGTTACCTTTTTTTTAATTACAAGAGATACTGTTGTCTTTTTTTTTTGTTCAAAATAATTTCTGTAATAAACTTTTATTTAAAAACTTTTGAAAGAGTGATCATTGGAAAACTTTGGTTAAAACTAGCATTAACATACCATATTCCCCAACATTTTCTAAGTGTGTTTAGAGAAATATTGCAAATTAAAAAGTCTTTCAGTTGCAGGGTAACTGGTTGCACTGCTAGGTGTTGCAAGAAATGTCTGTTACAGAATGGTGGAGGAGGACATGAGCAAAAGCTTAGCAGCTCCTGCTGGGCAGCATGTTTGTGTGTTTGTGACTGCAGCTTTCTGTCTATAAATAGTTCTGCTACGTGCCCTTGGCTGCACACTGCAGACTGGTAAGTAACCATTTTTGAAACTAAAAGAGCAGACAACTTGCTCTTATTTCAGTTGTACAGTAAGTATCTGTTTTTAACTTAAGGGATGCAAATGTGTATCTGTCTTCTCTTGTTCTACATCAGAGTCAATCTCCTAGGTTTAAACTTTTTTTGTTCTCTAATAATCATGTGGTAACTGAATTTCAACCCATACAAGTATAAAAATTTGTTCTTCTGACCTCCAGCTGCTTGTGATCTCTTCTGTCTCTAGACAGACTTCTCCATTTTGAGTTCTCTGTAGCCTTTTGACTCTCCTAGTGCAAATAATTTTATCTTTTTGTGCATTAGAATCATAGAATGGCCAGGGTTGCAAGGGACCTTAAGGATGATCTCCTTCCAGTCCCCTGCCATGGGCAGGGACACTTTCTGCTATCTCAGGTTGCTCCAAGCCCTGTCCAATTTGGCCTTGAGCAATTCCAGCAATGGGACAGCCACAGCTTCTCTGGGCAACCTCTTCAGTCTCGTCACCCTCACAAGGAAGAATTTCTTCCTATTATCCAAACCTACCTTCGCTCAGTTTGAAGGCATTGCCCCTTGTCCTGTTGCTCCAGACTTTAACCATTTTTTCTGGGATGGTGTTTGTCCAGGTGCTGGATCTACTCCTTCTGTGGAGGTTATTTCAGTTCATGGAAGGAGCAAGGAGCAAAGGGAAGTTAAGGGAGTCTGGTGCCAATGTTCTTTCTGCTCTGTTCTTTTTCCATAACTTTCTTGCTGCTTGCTATTTTTTTGTGTTTGAATTTTAGATAATCCTGCAAAGTTCATGTGATTAATGTACTTTGTGGTCTTGGAAGATTGAATTTACAACTAAAAGTATCAACTGCACTTCTGTTGTAGTAAACTTGTAATATCCAGTGGAAGACACATAATTTCACTTGCTAGAGCATCAGCACACTTTCTGCTGCCTATTTGGTTCTTATTTGCCTGTAGTGTTCTGTTTATTTATTTATTTGTTGATTTTACTTAGAAAGATCACAATTGCTTCCACATCTCAGCAGCAGAAGGAAAGTAAAATATATCTTTGCACCTTGACATTGAACTGGAATAGATGTTTCTATTTAGAAAGTAGATTAACTTAAAGAAATTGAAGGGAAGAGTAAATACCAGTGCTGAACTGGCTGTGGACTGCCTGTTTAAACATGGTTTCCAAGAAAAAGGATTTTGTCAATTCCATAGGTGTGCAAACCAGGATGTTATCTGATGTAAGCTGTTTGCTCAATCAAGGATGTCAATACCTGACTTTAAATGTTATCAGAGAGGCACAAATTTAAAGTGCAGAGGAGGAAGAATTTATGATGAATTTCCAGAAGACAAGTTTAATCAGGATCATCATGTACCTTTGCACGATGACTAGGCACAGTGAGTTAGAGGAGAGTGTTACAGATACTTGGGTTTAAGGATTTGGCAGCTTAGGGGGTAGCATTTCAGTCAAAGTCCTACTGACCTGGGTTTGCTTTCTGTAGTCAGAAATTTTGGGGTGGGGAGGAAAGTAGGAGAGTGCTACTTTAGTAAGCGTGTACTGGGAGACGTGAACTTTGTCTTTGCTGTAACCTAGAGTGGTTTTTGTTAGGATTAGCCATTGTGGACTAGGAGGTAGTAATTTACAGATATATTAACGTTTTGGTTTGCATTTTGTGCTAAGAGAACCTGCATCATTCAAGGAAGTGGAATATTTTTCACAGAGGCTAGTTAACATTTAATGGTCACTGCTGTTGCTGTCAGAAGAAAAGGAACACCCTAACCCTGCTCCCTGAATCAGTTTTACTCTTGACTGCAGATACCTTTATTGTGTTCATAGTGTTCATGTCTACTTTTTGTTTCTTCAGAATTTATTACCTGTTTTCCTCCAAATTCATTTTCATTGGCTCATCTCTTTATTATGGGGCATCTCAGAGGTGATCATATAAACTATCAAATGTGAAGCAAGAAGGAAATAAACCCTCCTAACTAAAGCTAAAAAGAGCTGTTATGGACCTGTTGTGTAGGTATGTAATAAGCCACATTGTTCTTGTAAAAAGAAAGTAAAAAGCAATTGGAAATACAACATAAAGACAGGTTTAAACCAGAAAAAGAAATCTGTTATTAAATCCCAGAACTATAATTTCATCTGCCTCCTGTGCACTTCTTGAAAGGTAAATTTGCAGCATATTACCTCCTTAAACAGCTGGTGGTTTATCTAGTTCAAGTTTTTAGTTAACAATTGTAGACATAAGTGTCAGAAGTAGATTTTTGACTACACAAAACTAATATTTCTGATACGGCTTCCAATTGGACAGCCCATGATTTTACTGATTAATTTCATATGGGGTTTAACCTCTTTTTGGAGGTGGTCCTATAATCTGATATGATTGTATTACTTTGGGCTGGTCCTACTCTATTCCAAATTCATTCTTTTTTCAGTTTTACAACTAACTGGCAAGTTACAGGATTTCTCTGTGCTCTGTTGCCAACTTTCTAAGATGCCAGCTATCTGATTTCTAACATCCTTTGAGATGTCTGGAAGGCAAAGTTCTGTATTAGAGTTGAGTGGTGGTTTTTCCTGCCATTTCTAATGGCAGAGACACACCACTGTTTTGATGTATGACTGCACTCATAAATGTGACATTCCTAATGTCTTTGAAAGAGGATATGCTGAGAATATGCCTCTGTTAGAATCCTTTTGACTTAGTTCACCTTAAGCATTTGGGAGTAGGCTCATTCTTTCAGAAGAAATTAGGTCACTACTAAAAGAAGTGATTTGAAAATAAATTTGCACAAGATAGCCTTTGTTTATGCAACCAAATCATCTGAGAGGAATTCTGGATAGTAACACCATTAGAAACAGGAAATTTCCTTTGGATCAAGCAAATTGGATGTTGAGGTTTACAAGTTGTTTGCCTCTGCAGGTAATAACGCCAAAACAGTCATTTTCATCCAAAGCAGTGATCTCTGAGCAGGCTGTGTTCGCTAACTGCTGTCCCTCCTACTGAGTCACCAAGCTGGCTTTATGGCATGCTGACTTCTCTTGACGTCTTCACATTCTATGAGCAAACTCTTTCAGCTCTGGATAAATGCTTAGATTCTCGTCTAACCAGGAAGGGCAAAGATTGCAGTGAGTAACATTAAAAGATAAAATACTTTGACTTTGCTAAAAGGCTTACCATGGAACAGATTTGAAGTGGCACTTCGCACCCTCAGTGTAAATTCCTGTCTCTGTCTCTCCGTTTGTAACAAAAATGTTATATAACATTACGAATGTTACAACAAAAATGTTGTGTCTGGCAACAAATGAAACACTTATTGCAGTGGCAATACTTCATGTTTCTGAGAGAAGGAACAGCTGAAGAAGTTAAACATATTTTCAAGGTAAAGGGGATAAAAATTCCTGTTGACAAGTCTGTAAGTAACTTGTAAGTATGTCTCTTTCTCTACAGGTGTATTTGCAAAATACTAGAGAATGCCCTCATTCAATAATCTTTCACTATTTCAAGCCGGGATTCCTTCCAGCCCCCCAAACACCTTTGTTCTTTAAAAAGTAAATAATTTAGTTTTTACAAACATCCATTTCATGGCTGGATTTGGGTTTTATGCAATTTCTTAAAACTGATAAGTATGGGGATTTTTTTTATTCCCAGGAATATGCACATTTTCCCTGCATTTTGTAAGGGAAAAAGACAACACTTTGCCACAACTGGAAACATGGTGACCCTTCTCTGCCTGTTTCAGTCCAGAAACCTGAACTTATCACAGCCCCCCAATGAACCCCTTGGCACTAGTTTGCCATTTTGAACTAACATGTATTAATTTAAAGTAAACAAAAGAGTTCTAAGAAGCAAAATCAGGTTAGGCAGCAGTGGTTTGATGCAGTCATCTCTGGTGGGAGACTGGAGTTCTTACCCTAAGTCACCAGAGAAGTTCTGTTTGTTCTAAAAGAATGTTCTAGACATGGAGATAATTTCTATTTAATGTTGAATTTGCTGCTGAAACCATTTCAGAAACTTGTATGTTACCATCAGGTTGGCATAAAGCTTTAATCTCTTTAGCAAATGCCTGATTACATAAGTTGGAAACAGCTGCCCCCTGGATCCATAATTCTATTCATTTGCTCTTTTTTCTTAAACAAATGCCCAATGATACAGTGGGTATTTATGTTTGAGACCTTTTCTTCCCAGTACCTGCTGTTGTTGTCTGTGAAATCACCATGGCATTTTAAAAATCACTATTTTACAACCAAGTTCACTTTAAAATGTCTAACAAAATTGCAATGACACCTTTTCCAGTCAGTTACTTCATCTTCTCATCCTATTTAAATCAATGTTTCAAAGATCTGTGTGACTGCAGTCATAACTTCATCTAAATGTAGCCTGGTGTTGTGGGATTGCTTCAGGTGTTCTTTGTATAATGCTAATTCTCCACTGTAGACCTTAAATTTGTAAAGGTGAGCGTTTACTTACAAGAAAGTTACTTGAATAGATTTTTTTTAAAAATAAAGAGAAGGGCATTAATCTCTTAGCATTACAGGCTGTGAAAAGGTGTTGGATCCGTGGAAAGTGGTAAGCTTTAATATGAGAAGGTGAGAAAAACAGAAGTTTGCAAATCTTCCTTTCAGCTATTAGAAACTTAAAAAAACAATGTGTTAAATGATTGGTTTGTCCATTGTCCATTACTGGATGTCGTAATTACCGTATTGAAATATCACCAAAATATCTTTTTTTTTTTTTCTTTTTAGGCGGGGGGGGGTTGGGAAGAGAGATGTGGATTTTAGAAAATGTAGGTTTGCATACCATTGTGTGCATCCCTCTGCCTGTGTTTCAGGCAGAGAAGTGGATGCACAAAAGGTTAACTGGTTTAATGCTGCCTGGTTTTTTGCCAGGAGCACAAACCATTCTCATCAGAGGACACAGAACACCGAAGCGCTATGGATTTTACTATCTTGGATTTTATTGAAGATTGGCCTTTAACGATTGACGAGTTTTGATAGAGTCAAAGATTAAAGTGAGACAAAAGCAGCAGCCAGATGTTCAGCTGAGCAGCGCTGAACGGGCGGCGGCTGCCAGGTGCTCTGTAGAAAAGCAAATTAATCATTGTTTCGGCTCTGCCCCTAGCCGGACCTGGGGGCACCGTGGCTGGGGCTGCCCGTGTGCAGGCAGCAGCCCGGGGCTGCCTTTGCCGATGGGCTCGGGAAGGGGCTGCGCAACGCCCCGCCCGCCTCTCCAGCGGCTCCGGGCGAGAGCGGGGACCCCGCGGGACGGGAGCCGAGCGGCACGGGGCTGAGCCTCCCCTCCCGCCCTTCCACCGGCCCTTCCCTCCGCCGGGCCATCCCGTCCCTCTGTCCGTTCGTTCGTCCGACCCTCGGCGGCGCTTCTCCTCGGAGCCGCGCCGAGGCGTGGGCCCCTCAGGGCCCGGGGGATCCTCTCCCGCCGTCCCCGAGGCGCCGTCGGCTGAGTCGCCCACGGAAGGCAGCAGTCGCTGGCCAGAGTCTCCGCGGCTCCCCCTCAGAGCCCCCGGCCGTACAGGGCCTTGTGGCGCAGGTACTCCTCGAGACACTGGATGGCCGCATCGTCCACCTCGGGGTCGAACTTGTTGGCCAGGAGATGGTGTTGCTGCAGCATCCAGGGCACGTCGCCCACCCCGTAGATGCAGATGGAGCGCTGGTGGCGGCCGGTGCAGGGAGGGTAGGGCGCGCCCTTGCTCATGTCCCCCTCCAGGTACTCCCACTTGACCAGGCGGGGAAGGGCGTTCATGTCCGAGAGCTGGAACTTATCGCTGAGGGGCATACTCCCCGGCACGCCCGGCATGCGGTTCAGGGTGGCCCACACGTGCTCGTCAGGGCTGTAGCTGTCCTCGGACCACTCGAGGAACTTTCGTGCGGTGGGGTTCTCGAAGATGTACCGCACGAAGTCCCGTGTGACGGCGGTGTAGGCGCTGCCCGTGAACATGGGGTAGCTGTGGGGTGGGGGCAGTTTCTTCTGGGAAGTGCGAGAGATGGTCTCCCCCACCTCGTGGTGATACTCCCAGCGCTGCTTCTTGGCGGCCGAGGGCCTCTCGGACTCCATGGCGTTGTGGCCCTGCAGCAGCTGCAGCGCCCGGACTATCTCGGCGTTGGTCTTGATGGGGAAGTCGGTGCCGCAGGTGTTGATGAGGTAGCGCCATGGCACAGGGCTCTGCAGGAGGTCCTGCATGCAGTTGAGGTCGGCCTGCACCCGGGACCAGGAGGCATAGACCACGCTTTCCAGGCGGCTGGCCACGAAGACATTGGGGAAGCAGGCAGCAATGGCCCTCACGGCCTCCTGGAAGGCGGCCGGGGATTTGCTGTCTACATGGACGCAGTAAACGTTCTGGGGGGCGTAGACGGACCGCAGGAGCCGCTCAAACATGTCGATTTTGTGGTGGATGATCATGGAGTAGGCGATGGGGAACTCCTCCTCCTCCTGGCTGAGCGGGAACTCGATGTAGCGCCGGGTCTCCTTGAAGGCTCTGCAGTCCCTCGCAATGTTCAGGTACTCGCCGGGCGTCGGTGAAGCCCTTCTGTTCGCCACTTCCAGGTTGCTGAGCTGCGCCTCCCGGATGGCCGTCTGGTCCCCGCGGACGACCCCCGAGCAGTTGATGCTGCGGCTGGGCGAGAGCTCCAGCGCCCGGTAGAGCTGCGGGCGCTCGGCGGGGCCGGGGCGGGCGGTGCCGCGCAGCGCCAGGGCGGCGGCGAGCAGCGGCAGCGGGCCCCGCCGCAGCGCCCAGCGCCGCCGCGCCGCCGGGGCCCGCTGCCACCACGGCATCCCGCGCTCCGGGCTGCGCTGCCCTGAGGGAGCCGGGCACCTGCTGCCTCCGGGAGGTGGGGAAGCAGTGCCGGGCGATCCCGATGTGACCGCAGGTGAACAACAGTCCCCTCCCTCCCCGTGGCGTGGCTCTCTTGGGTTTTATCAACACTGGGGGTGGTTCTATATCTTCTGGGTCTGTTTAAAAGATGATATTTCACCTTACCCCTGTCCAGCACGTAACACAAGGAAAATTCCTCAGGAATTCGACCCTCTGTAATGCACTTTAAAAAAAGATTTACTAGAGTACCTTGGTGTCTAACCTGCTTTTCCAGTGTTCTGATTGATAGGGAGGATGTGTGCTAATATCTTTGCAGAAACTTCGATGGGAGAAGGTGTGGGTGGGTGTTACCGGCTCTACTAACTTCAAGCAGCAGGTTTGTTACAAAGTCCAGACAGTTTGACTCCCGAAACAGACAAGGGTCTGCACAACCTGAACTTCCGTGCTATAAGTGAGGTGAGAGAGACATGTAGATAGCAGGTTTATAGGTAATAGGTAACCTAAACCCATGGTGAATCAGCCTGCTGCCTCTCCCCAGAGTTATTTGGATTAGTTATGTGAAAAATACCTAACCCTGCACGAGGCCTGTAAAATTATTTTGTAGGTCCACACCTAAAAGTACTTGGGGCTGGCTCTGATCTTCCTTTAATTTTTGGTTCTGTAATGAAGTATTATTAAGCAAAATTAGTGATAATGTCACTGACTGCTATTTAAGCAAAATCTTTCCTAGGTATACTTTGTATGTAATTTTCTGCCAAGTACACATCTTTTAGTAAGATACAGTATCCTCTTGTGAAACACTGTATTCCACTTTTTTCATTTGTGTTCACATGAGGAATGTTATTAGTGTTAATAGTAATGGCTCTTTTCAAAAGAACTATTCTTTTTAAAATCAGTATTTCCTTTGAACTATGTCAGAAATGGAGAATAAATTACATTTCCATCTTCTTGGCTGTTCAGATTTTTTTTTTAACTGTCTCTGCTGGTATTGTGATACTTATCTAAAAATCATGGGATTGTGTTTGGCTTATAGTTTTGAGATTTGTAGTTTTAAAATTACCAATAAACATTTGGAAAATTTCATGATAGCTTTCTCATTATGAATCTTCAGACATCAGAAGTTCAGTATTCTTTTTATATGAAGTATTTTGCACATACTCCAGAGTGGGAAAGTGAACAAAGCAAAGATGGGAAGTGAACAAGGAAGTATTGAGGTTTCAAAATAAATAAACCTTACGCAAATGTAAGTATATTGTATATGTACACTTTATCAGTAAAACTTTAACATGATGAACCTTGTGCACGTTCTGCTTTTTGAAGCTTGTAACTGTCTGATTACAGACTTCCCTTCTGTTTGCTTCCATTTATTTTCAACTGAATTATGTGTCAAAGTCCTGTACTGTCTAACAGTTCAAACTGTCTTTACAAGCTGCTGAGATTGCGTGCCCACAGGCAGAGTCTTGGGTCAGTTTGATGACAAGGTAGAGGTCAAGTTCATCTTTGAAGAAACTGTTGGATGTTAATTTTCCTTTCAGAGTTCTACTTCATTGCTGGTTTGTGAAAAATGGTTTGAAAGCACTACATGCAGTACCTCTAAACCTGATTCGGAAAGGACATGAAAAGGTACCAGTAAAAAGCAGCAAGTAAAATATCAAGCCACAATATTTTTTGTAGCATGCATACCAGTTCCTGTTATTTACTGAGCACTGCCTAATGCTATTCATCTTACAGCTGCAGACTCATTGCTTTGCTCTTTTTTGACCTCTGGTGCACTTTTACTGAAGTCAGACCATTCCTGCTTTGATCCAAGACAAAATTGCTGGATTGAAGAGCACAAGTGAGTATGGCTTAGAAAAAAGCCAAAGCAGACAATCATAATTGAAGTACAGTCTATGGGGTAGTATTGGCCACTTGAAATTTTATACAACAGCTGAACAATGCTCATAAGGTATAACGAGTTTCCTCACTTACATTTTGTATAATAAAGCAAAATAGGGACAAGGTATTACTCACCTTATACAGATTGCTGAAGAGACAGACAAATAAATAGGATGATGCTGGTAGAGATATTTAAAAGAATTTCCTTTAAACCACTCTTAAGACTGGCACTGTTTCTGACTGTGGTGGCCAGCACTGTGAGCTGGACTGTGTCCTGGGGGAAGAAAACCTGTTTTTTTTTCTTGAAGGACATAACACAAAGAAAACACAGTGATACTGGGGATCATAAATGCATTAGCTCATGCTGCATTGTTTCTACAAAAGGGTTGCTTCATACATCATGGGAAATAAAAACAAAACAGAAAACAAAACTCTTTTAGACAGATGATAGAGGAGGTCAGGGCTGCAGGAATAAAGAACCAAAAAGAATGGATATAACTTTGTGCATTTCCCACAATGAAAACCCCATTATAACTGTCCTATTGAAGAGGTGATTTCTTAAGAGATAAGGAACTTTCTGAAATAGACACAAATGTTACTGAGAAAGGTTTTTGTCTTTTACCCTTAAAAGCATGTTAGTTTTATTTCTTGCCTTGTTTTCAGCTGTCTAAATAGTATTCTGAACTTCACTGTGCTGTGGTAGAACTTTTATCAATTTATCCCTGTTCTGTGCAGTTCGATTTGGTCACAAGTAGAGAGTCTGCCACAGTTCACAGACACATGCACGTAGGGATGGCTGACACACAGATCATGTCCAAAGCCTCTGTATCATGGAGATTGTTGCTTTCATGTCTCTGTGGCTGCCCAGAAATATTTGAATATGTTTAGACCTACAGCTGGTCTGGTTGCCTGTAGCTGCACAGGTTGTGGTGATTGGGAGTGGGGCCCAGCCTCATCCCTGTGGGCACAGCTGTGGGCAGCACTGGCAGCAATGAGCCAGGGAGTGCCCGGGGGCACTGAGCAGCCACCAAAGGGGGCAGAGGGCACACAGGGGCAGTGCATCAACATCAGGGGTGTAAGGGTTGGGCAGAAGATGCTTACAGCCTTCTGAACTGACATGCTTACTCTGTATGGGCAGATGCTTGAAGCCTTCCAATGTTACTCTGTGTGGGCTGAAGCTCTCTGGAATTGTGTGGGGATGCTCTGTATTGTGGCCCTCTCAACTGCTGGTGACAGGTGCTGGTGACATGTGCTGTGACAGTTGCCTTGAATGTCCCACAGCTGGCTAAGAATACTTCAGACTGGGGCTTTATCCTGTTGCTGAATAGTTATTGATGAGTTCACTAAATTTTCCTTCAATGCTTGGAGGGTTCACACAGAGCACTCTTTACCTTCACAGTCATAGAATGCATTACAAGGGAAGGACAAGGAATCAATGGGGGAAAGGTGATTGTCTTCTGGAACTGTTGTTGTGGGCTATTCAGTTCTGTCTGAAGTTCTTGCCATGTGCTGCCCTTGTTCTGGCTGCAATCCTGTAAAGAAACCCAAGTATTTCATAATAGTTTGAGCACCCTACTTTTTCTGCCATACATTCACAATTCAATATGTTATTACTTTTTAGGGGAGAACACTGTTGTGGGGAGTATAGTACCATTTTTTCTTTATTTCAGATGATCTATTTTCTTCATATTTTCATCCTTTAAAATTCTCTTATACACTTGACACTTCTGTTTCCTATACAAAGCTAGAAGGAGCACTAGCTGCACTTCTGTCAGAGAAAATCCTGAAGGTTTTTACTGCTTATTGTTTCATTCTTTTCATGCTTATAACATGTCTCTACAGCTTGTCTGTCTGTGATGTTTTCACACTGCTGTAAACTATCTCCAGGGCAAAAGTTTGCAACAGCAAAAAAGAAACTTTCTGTACAGCAGCTAAACAGCTGAGGTCTAGAACCACTGAGGTATTTGAGCATCCCACCTCCAAGTCGTCACTGCCTCAGTGTGTGGATCTGTGTTCTGGAACAGTTCTGTGCTGCATCTGTGGTGCTGATGCAGCAGACAGCAATTGCATCTTTCTTTGGGCACCTATGTCATATGTGCTGGCGTGTCCTGCCCTGCAGAGGGGGCCAAAGAAGGAGAAGGGTTTTGAGGAGCATTTACTGTCCAAAGACTAAAATATTGATTTAGCTGACTGAAGGTCATGCTCCTCAGTGTGTGCAAATGAGCACGACTGAGCTTATCTTTGTGAACAAAGACGGTAATGGTGTGGTGCTAGGTGTCAGTAAATCAAAGATTGGCATATGTATTTCTACTTACTATACTTACTAAAAATTATACAACACAAAAATCCCCAAAATAAGCTGAAAACCCTAATAGATTCTAACCTTCTGGCATGCATTTTCTGCCTATAAAATGATGCCATTCTCCATGGTTTTGGCACTTGTTTTAGGCAAAGAGTGTGCTTTGAAGGAGTACCAAAATGTAGGTCTATGGTAAAACACCTTAATCACAAATTTAACAGTGGGAAGGGGAGTAGTAGTTTAGTCTTATAAAGACACAACACTGGCATGTCCCTCTCTTCATGTTATTTTCAGTCCGAGATTTGGATGAAGTCTTTTTTTCTACTTCTTCTGTGTTTCAGCAGTGAGGGTGTTAGAAGTCCAGTTTATGTAACAGTGACAATAAATCTGAGTGGGAGTGTGTGAATTGAAGCACTCTTTCTCACTGAAATCAGATGGAGAGGAAGAAGAGAAGTGTGTTTTTGTTTTACTTCAAACAGATAATTTCATAGTTTTTACCTGAACCTTTGGGCTCAACTTTGCTCTGATATTACCTAAAAATGTGCAGTGTCTTAACTTCTCTTGTTGGAATAGCCCATATACCTGAATGAGAGTGTTTCAGTGATTTGCTGGTCTTCAGATTACTTCAGTATTGTCTAATGCTGCTGTTGTGAATAGCTGTTTCCAGGACATTTCACCCACATTTTTAAAGCAATTTTGCTGTTGTCACAAGTAGCTATTAATCACTTCATCTCTGGACTCTGTTGGCAATTGAAAGTCATAGAGCCAATGTCTTTATGATTATGAAATAAAAATAACTGTTTGATTATTTGCATCTCTAGTTATCAGGCAACTTGCAGAAGAGTGACATGGTACTATAAAATATATTTTCAGTCATTTCTCTTAGTCACAACCAAGATGAAATTTTGTGGGTTGTTTCAGAGAAAAACCACTGGAATTGTCACCAAAACCATACCAAACTCCTGAGGTGTATATGTAAAAATGGATAGGCTAGAAAGATTTTGCCAAATGCTAGTGCATAAAAAATTAGAATGTTTGCAAAATGTGTATTTGACTAACTGTGGAACACTTATTGGACAATAAAGACTGGATTCAACCAAGCTAGTAAGTTGGAACTGCTCTTCCCTCCCATCTTTTCCAGGCAAACTTACAAAAAACAAAGCTAAAAAAAGAATGCCAAGAAAACTACCACCCTTTGCAAGGGTATATTTCAGCAAACAATAGATTCCATACTGAAACAAGGTGTTCTTTAAGAGCACTAATGTTCCTTTATTTCAGGAAGGTTATGGTTCATGATCTCCTGGAAACTACTTGGAAATGATACAGCAAAAAGGGCTACACTGTTCCACATTTAAAATGGTGAGATCCCAGCACTGATGTGTAAATCCTGGCTGATACTGTGGCAGGATGCCCTGTGCTGTGCCAGTGTGGGACAGAGATCCTGGAATACAGATGACATTATCCACCTGCTGCTGACACAAGGTGTTAGCTACCATTGCTAAAGCTAAGGGCAGGAGGAAATGCAGAGTATTGGCAATCAACTGCTTGGTGGTTTGTTTCCTTTTTAAAAATATATTTCTATTTTTTTCTTAGATGAGTGTTAGTGTAACTGGAACTGTAAATCTGACCAGCAATATGGCTGTGTCTCTTTACTGCTAAGACTTGACAGGCACATATATACTCACTAGTGTGAATATTTAACATGTAGAAAAGAATTGGGTCAGGAAATGTGGTGTTTGTCGTTGTGCTCATTTGAATAAAAAATACACATCACAGATTAAACTCTCTTCACCAAAAAAGAGGGAAAATCTTCACACACAGGAGGGTCTGAGCTGCAGTCTGGGCAGTTTTGGCATTATTAGCTGGGTAGTTTTGCCCTTTGAACCCAAACCATTCCATGGTTCTATTACCTCCGTAACAGGTGCGGTGAGCTGAAAACTGGGTTAGGAAAATTCTTGTTTGAAACAAGGTACTAAAAAAACCCAGAAGATATGCTAAATACTTGGTAGTCTATAGAGTTTTCTAATTAAGACTGAACAAATTATTATCTAGGATGATGGCAGAAGTCCATTTTTCTTTCCTTCCTCCATAAGAGGATTGGTTTAAATTGCTTGTCCAATGTTTTGGTTTCCAGCTGTGTTTGGAGCTTCCATTAACGATTAATTTGGGATTATCTTCAGGCCATCAATTTTGTTCAGTACTAATACTTTGTGTGTGCTTAAAGCTGCCAATGGGGTGAAAAGAATTCTAGATGGAGTGCCAAGTTTCAGCTGCAGATGTAAATAATACCTGCAAAGTGCACAAGTCCCACTTTGCAACTCCAGCATTTTTAGTGCAAGGTGAGTAAAGCTGAAGGGAGGATACAAGTCTTCAGGAAAAGAAAAAAAAAAACCAACTGAAAAACAACCAAGCAATTCTTTGCTTTCAAGTCATAAAAAAAGAACCTTTGAAGCATGTCATACTTGTAAAAAGCAATTCCTCTGTATTTCAGAGTCATCTCAGCATTGTTTGCTTTTCTTTTCAACTTCAGAATCCATGAAAAATTGTCAGAGTGCAGTGCTGGACTCTGAAGCCCTCATCACCAACTGAATGGCCTAACAGTGGGACCAAATTAGACAAGCACTTGAAGCAGATGTAGCCTTGCCAAATTACTGGGTGTATCAGCAACACCTTCTGTCTGACAGCTGACAGAGGATCTGGCAAATCCAGTATATTGCAGGATCTGCCTCTAATACTGTTCCGCTCTCACCTTGTGTTCCTAACGAAACTGAAGTTAATTTACAGCTCAGGGAACTGGCTACATTCCATTGACTAGGCCTGTTGTTCAACTCTGGGTGAAGAGTTCAACTGTATTTCAAATTCTTCTATTGTTTCCAGCAGATGATTCAAATAACGAGCGTGAGACATTCTGCCAGTAACTAATTCTGAACTTCAAGTTAAT